AAATGTTAATATTATTATGCTTTTCTCAAAAATTTTCGTTCGTGCGTTTGCAGTGATACTAAATGATACCACACCATGTTCCATGTTATTTTTCGGCATACGTTTTCTCAACACAAACTCCAGTCAACTTGAAACCTGCCATTTTCCCTGTTTATACGGAAAGAAAAACGGAAACAATAATGGATAACGTGACTGATATGCAGACAACATTTCCCTTGCGCGAGTAATAGACAGCCTTTTGTACTGACTGCCAAAACGTAGCTGAAAAAAAAACTTTTCAATCCGAACTCGGAAACTAATCTGCATTGATTTTTAGGTCTGATTGTTTTAATCTTGCCGCCTCTCGATTAATGGACTTCGATCGTTTCCGGGTAAAAACCTGTTTGTGTCAAATTCAACGAAGACAGAAAAACTGCTTTCATGCATTTCTAGCATAGAGGGTACAGAAACTAGACGTTCATGAAGGTATTAACATTAATGGTTGAGGGAGGGGTGGGAATACGAACGATGATATCATCTGAAAATGCATGCTCTACCAATTATGAAACATTTAGTTTAATTTACAGTTCATTTATTTCTGTGACTCGTTCGAAAGCTAACCAATAGTACCGATAGAAATGAAAGTGAGTACAAAATGAAAGACAAAATATTTCAACTCTGAAAGATAAAAGATTTTCCTTTATATCCGCTGAACAGCCAATCGTAGGAGGGAAAATGGGAACAAGGAGAATGATATTAACTATATTTATTTCTCATCTCAATTTCGATATTTATTTCTATGTACTGGATAGCGAAAATAAATTTTGTACTACAACAGATTGGTTGTACAAAAAGCGTAATTAATTAAACTGATCTAATTGTCTTCCTGTCTCTTACCGGATCGCTCTGCATATAGCTGTTATTCACTGAATTCTTGGGGTTTCGAGCCATACTTGGTTCAACCAACAAAATTTATATGCAGAACAAGAAACAATGGATATGATCTCCCATATAAAAGAAAAATGTCCAACATTCAAGTTTAAAGTGATTTTAGAGATCAAATTCATGCTCGCTGGGCATGTGTTGCGAATGCCTCCAGAAAGAAAGTCAAGCAACTGTTCCTTGCAAATCCGACGGGCAAAAGGCCCAGGGAACGGCCAAGATTAACCTGGTGCAAACATATGGAAGGAATCTGTTCCAGACTGC